ATAATAATGACAAAAAAAATCAATAGTTCTCAATGTAAATAAATCAATAGAAAAAAAAATTATTTTTTGATACCAACTTAAATTTATATTTTTATAAATTATAATATATTTGTAAAAACATAAAAACCATAATTTGTTTCTAATTTCTACTCTCTTAATGTTGTTTTTTATGGATTATGCATTTGCTGGACTATATGCTTTTGCTTATTTTAAATTTCTACTCTCTTTTTTTATAAATTTTTTTATGTAATACTTTTTTATGGCATTTATTAAATTTTTTGCATGTTTTTCACTTCTATAGGTTTTTGTTTTTATACTCCATGAATTACTCTTTATGTAATGTTACAAAATTTATTTATTGAAAAAAATGAGATTAAGTTTTATAATTTTAATATTTGAAAGAGATTCAACATAAAAAATTAAGGCACAACTAAGAAGCTCAAAAATAAGGTTTCTAACTTTATATATAAAATTCAATAAATTTGTTGTAGCTTTCTATACTTTTTGAAAAAAATAGTTCAAAAAAATTATAAAACATATATATATATATATATTTAAAAGTACTGTACGGTTGCAAGAAAAAGCCCAAATACACCCTTGTAAAAAAACTTACTAAATAGGAAAAATTTGGCCATGTGTCAAAATATTTAGAGAGTAAGATTTTGTTTGACAACATTTTTCGGTACTTTACTTTCTAGGTTTTATATCTTTTTATTATTGTAAAGATATATAAAATGTTAATTAAAATAAATATTAAATATATTATATATATTTTTAATATATGAAAGGACCAAAAAAACTACAGTTGAACTAGTATTGTCAAACCAAGAGTGCATTTGGGATTGCAATTAGGGGCATTTTCTTGTAACCATAGAGTGTTTTTAGATATATATGCATTTAATAATTTTTTTTTCAAACAACATTTTTCAAAAGTTGTAGAAAGCCACTATAAATTTATAGCAATTTTTTATATAAAGTTACAAGCTTCATTTTGGAATTTTTTAGTTGTAACTTTCACAGATAATACTTAATATTTAATACAATTATAAAAGTATCCATTAAAACCCAACTATATTTAATTCAATTATACTGTAATTTATAATATTTAATTCAAACCTAACATTTCGTTTACTTGAAGATTTTATAAAAAATTAAAAACTCATTCCCTCCTTATGAGTAGTTCTCTTGCGAAACTCAAAAGAACACCAATCTTACGAAACCTAAAAAACTTAAATTATTATGAAGTAATAAATGTTGCCTATTTTAATAATTATACATCATATGATGTTTTTTAAATTTTAGTTAATAATTAATAAAATTTATCATATGTCATTCACTACTTTTAAAAGATAAATAATCAAATACTAAAATAACTTTCGGTTACAGTTATAGTACAATACAATTCAACACAATTCAATACAATTATAACCATAATTATAGCCATACAACACCTCATATCAATTCCAAATGCACCTAAGTCTAAGAATTGCATAGAAATTTGACAAATGACATAACTTTTCTTTATTAATTTCTTTCTTTATTATTATTAATTTGTCCACTAGTGAAGAAGAAGAGGAAAACATATGTAACTGGTAATGAGGGGATGAGAAGAAAAAAGAATATGTATGATTAGAGGGTCATTAACAATAATAATTCCAATTGCCACCCATCTAGAATTCACCAGTGATGCACATACATGACAAGGGATAATCATAGTGACTTTTACAAAAGTGACTTTGATTTGTAGAATCTAATTAATCGCAATTACCACCGATGTAGAAATCAGATGACTTTATATTGTTTCCAATAACATACGCTTTATTCAAACTTATTGTAAAATAATATACACTTTATTCATACTTATTGTAAAATAATATACACTTTATTCATACTTATTGTAAAATAATATACACTTTATTCAAATTACTTGGGTAAAAGAGCTAAAGAAACAGAAAAACGAATAAAATGATTTAAAACATTGAATCATGTTTTGGCAGTCCTATCTCAAACTTTACAATTTTTTTTAATAGATTAAAGATTTTAAAATAATTTATAGATTTACCTTTATTATCCTTATAAAGGTCTATATATTTGCCCAAATTGACAACTAAAAAGAGTAATTTACCAGTGAAAATTCTGATGTTCGCAGAAGGATTGATTTCCATAAAGATAAAGCTACGTTTACCCTCCTTCGTTACACCTTCCATTACACACACCCATCTCCGTTACTTTGTCGTTAACGCCCAAACGCACCCATCCCTTTCTTTCTCTTTCTCTTCCTACCGCTCCATCTATTCCCCTTGCTTCTCAATAGCAAAGAATCCAGAAAATTTGGTTACTCATCAACCACTAGTAACCATCAATTTCATCCCATTTGGTTCTAGCTTTTTTTTATCCTTTTTTATCAGATCTGAATTTTTTTTTTTTTTTTTT